AGGACAATTATTTTTCAGAAGTGTTGTGATAACTCACATATAATACAGAACTATACTGTTCAATGAAGTAGCCACTATCAATGCCTGGTTGATATTTAAATGTAACATTTAATTAATTAAAATTAAAGGAAGTTAAAAATTTAGTTCCTCAGTTGCATTAGCTAAATTTCAAATGCGTTATTGGTATATGAAGATATCTGCTGCCTTGTTGGATTGGGAAGATATATGTAAAATTTCCATCTTACACAAAGGTTTTTTGAGCACCATGGAGGTTTGAAATAAATGCTGAGTCCTTTCAAACTACTGTGAAATATGTGAGAAACTAATGCATGACTGAATATAATAAATGTTTAATAAAAGATAATAGTAGTAAGATTCTCATTCTGGCCAAGATTGATTAAGTTCTATGCAAGTTATATTTCTCTATGATTAATACTAAAACTCTGGATCAAATATAAACAAACACCTCCTGAGGACTCTTAAAAGTAAATAACAGAAGATGGATTGAAGAGTAATCACAACTTGAAGAAACATCTATATGATAGTGATGAGTTTACTATATTTTTCTCCTGTATCTCCTAGGCTTTGACCCAAACACTGTTTTAATGGGAAATTATATAACAGGCATATTCAGCAGATTCTACCAAGGAACCACCTTTTTGTAGCCACAGGGCCATGAGAAAACATTCTTCCAGCAGGAGAAAGTGGGGAAAACCTCTTTATCTTTTCCTTTTTTCTCTAGCAACCCGGTGAAAAGGCCAGATCTGGTCATTGAGCTGTATTCCTACTGCTGAGCCAGGGCACATGCAGTAAGACTCAGAGGGAATGGAATCCCTTTATATGAAGAATGGATACAAAGGGGCCCTGTTAGGTGAAGAGTATGGGGGAGAAAGACCACCATTATTTTTTTCTTTTTTTTACTCTCATTGTATTACCATCCTGGGAATCCCAAGTCATATAGATTTTTGGGGGCTATTTTGGGCACTACACTCCAAAAGAATCCTATTTTTTAAGGCTAGAAGATTGCAAAACTGAGCCACTGGGAACCAGAGAGAATGAGAGTATTCCTAAGAGGAATGAGCTGGAGAAAGGTATTCCTAACTCTATTCTAGGAACTAATTCTAGAATCCTTAATTCTAATTCTAGGAACTGGAATCAGGCACACCAGGATCAGGCACACCCTAAATCTACACAAAACATGTAACACTTACAAGCAAAGGTTGTGAGAACTTAACTATGTTACATCACTGTTCAATTTCCATAACAAGGCCTGAGTAGAACATGCATGCAAAAGTGGCCTCAATATCCCTGTATATGAAAAACAATTTCAATGATTATATATTTTTCCTGAGAAAACCATAGAATAACATCTTTTTTATTGTTTGTTTTTCTACTTCTTCTAAATAAGAGGTAAAAGCAAGATAGAAGAACATCTTTAAAATGCTAAAAGAAAGTATCAACCTATAATTCAATATCTAATAAAAATACTGCTAAGAATGATTTATAGATTCAATACAATTCCCACCAAAATACCAATGTCCTATTTCACAGACCTAGAAAAAATAATACTAAACTTAATTTGGACCAACAAAGAGCTCAAATATCCAAAACAATCCTAAACAAAAAGAGCAACTCTGAACACATCACATTATGTGACTTCAAATTTTACTGTAAGGCTGTAGTAACTGAAACAGCATATTGATGGTATAAAGTTAGACACACAGATCAATGGAATAGAATATAGAACACAGAAATAAGCCATATAACTACAAACAACCTGATCTTCAAAAAAACACACAACATACACTGGGGAAAGGAGGCGCTATTCAATAAATGAAACTGGGAAAATTGGATAGCCACGCGCAGAAGAATGAAACAGGGTCCCGTCTCTTGCCATATACAAAAACTAACTCAAGACAGGTAAAAGACTTAAATGTAAGACATTAAACCATAAACATCCTAGAAATATAGGAAAAACTTTACTACATGTAGGCCTAGGCAAAGAACTTATGGCTAAGACTTCAAAGGCAAATAAAGCAATAACAAAAACAAATAAATAAGACTTGATTTTGTAACCTGAGACTTTGCTGAATTTATTTATCATGGCAGTAGTCTGTTGGTAGAATCTTTGGGTTTTTCTAGATATAAGAGCATATTGTAAGCAAAGAGCAATAGTTTGATCTCTTAATATTTTCAAATAAAAATGTCACACAATTGTAAACCAAAAAGTGAATTTTGCTATATGTAAATTAAGAATTCATAAAGGGAAGTGGCAACAAGATTTTATAATTTATCCAGAAAATATTATATCTCTCTTTTCATGTAGATACCAAAGACAAAGATTAATTAAATAAGTCTTTAAATTCTATTACAAGTAAGCACAGTGTATATTATTTAAACTTGTTTAAATTGTTATACAATATCCAGTCAAAAATTTAAATTACAAATGCCAAAAAGTGACTATAGTCAATATTAAGTTATATCATACTTTAAGATAACTAAAATAACTAAAAGAATGAAATTAGAATGTGCCTAACACAAAGAAATGATAAATGCTTGAGGTTATGGATACTTAAATTGCTCTGATTTGATTAATACACATTGTATGGATGTATCAAAGCACCACTTGTACATATTAATATATACAACTATTATGTACCCATAATAATTAAAAATATAAAAAGAACTCTTACTACTTTTTCTTTATTTCTTTTCCTTTTTCTTTCTAGTATCCTTTACAATGCTAACATTAGAGCTGTGGAGTAAGTTCATTTAGATGATAAAAAGCCTAACACTGCAAATTGAAAATTTAGAAAGCTAGATCATGGTTGAATTAAAATAACTTCTGTTAGCAACTGAAAACAACTTGAAAAATATAGAAAATTCATACGTTTAATTTAGGCAAATTAACTAGAATTTTGAAGATAAAAATAATATACTTATAATGAAAATCCAAGCTCAAGATTAGTAGTCCCTGTCTGCTTCTAATACTCAGATATTACCTGAAAAGCCCTTTCTCCTGATTATATAAGTGGATAGAATTCACTGGTGGCTAAACACAATTGTTTTGAAATAGTTTAATTGATTTTTATACAGTAAGCAAAAGGAAAAGAAAGGGGTCAAATTTTTTTGTAGAAAAATAAACAGTAATGATAGGTAGTTACTCCATATATTCAAAGAATATTTTTAAGTATATTCCGTGAAGGGTATTAACTAAAGTCAAAAGTGTAATTTTTACTATGTCCACCAGAAATGACAAGGCAGTTTCCATTTGTTACAAACTATATTCAAAGCTTATGAAAAAATAAAATTTCTGAACACAAAAATAAGAATCTCCTGAATTGTTACTTTATGTCTTTAAAACAGAAATAGTTTTGAACTGTATTTAGAAATAGATATTTTTATTTTATCTCTATAATACTTTATTAGCTATTACAATAACTGTAACCATGTTCACATTATACACCAATGATGATTTCATAAAATCTAGTGTGAACTAGAATAAAACTTGAATCCCCTCTCCCCACCAGCTGACTGAATGGAAGCCCCCCTTGGCCAAGGGAATACCCTAAAACTGGCCATGAGAAGGGAGGTCAGACATGCCTCATCACACTATCCTCCCTTCTTAGATATCCTTTGTAACTCTGTAAAAGGCCTAAGGCTATGCAAGACAAATCAGGTCCTCAATTTAAGTAACAAATCACTGAGTCCAGGAATATATTAGGTGGCTTATCTCTGATTAACAGACCTCCTTATGTTAAAACATTCCAAGCCTTTAGACAAAGCTTCAGTTCTTTAACCAATTTACAAGTCAAAGAGTCTTTACACTCATTTAGTCACCTATAACCTATAAGCTCCCTCTTTGAGATGTCTCACCTTTTTGGTCCAAACCAATGTATGCCTTCCATGTATTGATTTATGACTATACCTGTATTTCCTGTCTCCCTGAAATGTATAAAACGAAACTGTAACCCAACCACAGCAAGTCCACTTGCTCAAGACCCTCTGGGTGTGGCTGTAGGCTATGGTCCTCAAATTTGGCTCAGAATAAACCTCCTTATTATTTTACAGAGTTTGGCTTCTTTTCCACTGACACTAGGAAATCGAAAATTTGCTATAATTTAAAGTGCATTTTCTCTTGCAAATCATGAGTATTTTCTTTAAGAACCCTGGTTCTAATTATCTTGACTTTTGTATTATTTTAGTTTATATTACTGAAACAAGGTCATATAAAACCATTTTCATGTATTTTCAGATTGGAAAGCATGGACATAGATATTTACTTTTTTTGTACTTGTCCTCCATATAATCTTTAATATATAAATTCAAATATATTAATGAGAGTTAAATAATCTCAATCTATTAAACAAAATTATATATAGATACACCTGCCCATTTAAACACATTTTGCTGTGTATTTTATTAAAGGTAAATTTCATAATCATTACTTCTAAAACACAAAAATTTCATTACCACACTTGAGAGACCAAGATAATTTGCATATGTGCCAAGATATTAAGCCATTATCATTAAAATAGTCATTAAAACATAAAAATGCTGTATTATTTTGTAAACAAATAGGATGCCAGAAGACAATGCATTTAAAAACTGATTTGTTGTCTTTAGGTCAATTTTGGCAATCGTTGTTTGGTTGATTGAAAGATGTATTTTTTGCTAATTTAGGTCAATGTCATATATAGAGAGCTATGATTGCTCTAACCTTGTATTCCTTGTTGGCCCATATGTGGTATCACATACTTAAAAATAATTCTCAGACCATCTGGCTACTGACAGAACAGGGCAGAGGTCAAGGACTGTTTTAGCAGAGCATAGTATACCAGCTGCTTTGTCACAATGTCCTTCATTGTATGTTTCATCTTTGTTTAAAAGACATGATCTTTGTAATGTTAAGATGTCATTTCCTGTTGCCTAGAAACATTTGAACCACAATCAGCCTTTGTTTCATAATGTTTTATCTAGGAGGTTTGACCTTTTCAATCGTTGCATAAGGGCAAAATAGTCCATTTAAAAAATGGTTATAATATATGAAAAGAATGGTAATATATTAATATTTCTTGTCGACTATATTAATTCTCCAAATGTCACTTTTTAGTACTGCATTTTTTAATAATGCTATCATAAGATTACGGTTCATCCAGAAGATTATTAAAATAAACTGTAAACAATCAATTAAGGGCAAGGTTTCATTCAGATACATTCAGGGCTATGAATGATAAAAAAGAAAGAAAGTGTAAAGTCACCAGCTTTACTGGTCCATGGGAAGATGTCAAATTCTCAAGAAACATAAAGGTTAAATCAAACTCTTTTGTCAGCCATTATGATTATTCACGTTTAAAAAGTACAAATTTTATTCTGATCACAATAGAAATGGAATTATATGTTGTTATTATGTAAGCATTATTTCTACAGTACAAAATCAAATGATTAAATTACCGTGTCGCCACATATTAGTAAGAAATCAATTTCCTAATCAAAGATAATCAAAGGGAAGGCAATGTTTTATCTTATTTGGAATTATTTCTTATTTAAATGTAACTTCTACTGAGGTTTGTTATTGAGTGTGTGACGTCATGCATCTAGCCACATTCTAAAGTGACATTAATACTAATATGATAGTAATGATAACTAAGCAATTTTATATTTCTCTTTGTATACAACCCTGTGTTATAATGTGATGTAATATATGCATCTTTTGTAAAGGGCATAAAGTATAATGATAGGTTGTAAAATCACTCTGCTTTTATCATTTTCTAAATTTATTTTTATTTAATATGTTTCAGCCACATGTTTAGTATTCTTCTAAATTTTAGAATGTATAAGTCAATAAAATTCACCAAAAATTCATGCACAGTAAAATTATTTTTGATATAAAGAATTTATACTTTATAATAATGAACTGGTTGATTTCAGGGGAAAGGAGAAAATGGATGTAGAAAAACAAGAAAAAATTAATCATTCTGTTATAAAAATGAATTAAGAATTGAACATAGTGAACCTTTAAAAAAGTAATGTAAAAGGGTGGCATATTTACTAAAACACATAGCTCAAGGAAATAAAAATTATGCAAACTGGTTAAGGTATACTTATATAATAAAATGCATGATTTTAAAACATTCTTAAACACGAGATATTATATAATACCTACTGGTGAAGCATTGTATGCCAATAATATTTTTATGAATATAATCACATAAAGTTTTTGACATGGCTCATTATTCTGAGTAGAGCTTTGACAAATATATTTCCGCCTTTCTTTCTTTTCTTTTTCTTCCCCCTCTATTCTTCTTTCTAGGGTGATCTGTGGCAGTCTGAAATGTTTGCTCTTGGTGCTCTCAAAACCGAAGAATGACTACACACACCAAAGTAAGGCAAACACAAAAATTAGATTTATTGAGGAAAGAAAGATAAGATTATAGAGCAAGAGCAAGATATAGGTTTACAGAGCGAGATATATAGGCCACAGATGACAACCACAGAGCTGCTGTAGCAAAAAGAGAGCGAGAAAAAGCCTTAGGTTATGGTCTGGGTCTTGTTTTATAGTGTCCAGATTGGAAAGTCCCTGTCATTCAGGTGGCACCATGGAATCACTTTGGACAGTTGGGAGTTATATGACCTGAGTCTTACTACGCATGCGGATCTCCCAGGAGCCTCTCTGAAAGCCCATTTGTGGGGAGGGGTGAACTGCAGCAGCACCCATTCTCATCCCTAGGAGATCCAGAACGCCTCACTGTCTACCAAACAGGGTCTATGATACTATCTCTGTGTATCCTCATTTGTAAGGAGAACTTTCCTCTGTAAATTAAATTAATGTACCTAATGTATAGTGTTTTACTGTATATGTATGGTGTAACTTTTAAAAGTTACTTTACATATGCTTTTTTAAATTTCCATAACTGCAGGTCAAGAAAAGATGGCATGTCCTGTAATATTCATGTTCTAATGGTACGTAATGGTACGTCATGTGATACCCAGGTAGAGATTTCGGGTATCTGAGCTTCACAGCTAATATAACCAGCACTGTTATTATTCTGTCACTCTGTGAAGATTAACTTCATGTGTCATCTTGGCTGGACTATTGTAGTCAGTTATTTTGTCAAATTCTAGACTAAATCTTGCTATTTAGGCATTTGTTACATGTGATTAATATTTATAGTCAGTTGATATTAAGCAAAGCATTTTCTTTTCCATAATTTGAGTGGGCCCCATCCAATGAGTTGAAGGACTTAATAGCAAAGATTGAAGTTCCAAGACTACAACATAGAAATTTTTTCCCTGAATTTCTAGTCTGCTACTCAGTAGAATTCAGACTCAAGACTGCAAGGCCAACTCTACCTGAATTTTCAGCTTGCCAGCCTGCCTGTTTCTCTAGAGAACACTGTCTAATACAGATGTCAAAGAGTAGAATAAAAATGTAAATTCTGGCCCCACTTCTCAATGTGTGACTTGGCTTGCATTCAACAAATTCTTTATGCTTCATTTCCAAAATATTTACATAGGATATTTTGAACATTGAGATAATTGATAGCTTTAACATGGTGCCTACTCCTTAAAAATTTCTCAATAATTTTTATTTCATTAGCATTTTTATCCTGATTTTAATATTATCATAATGATAATATTTACTACTAGGTGAAATAAAACAAAAGCATGCAAGCAGTAAATGTTATTTTTAAATTTTTCTTGCAAGCACTTAGCTGAAGTGAAAAGAGAATAGAGACATTAACTAACATTTATATTCATATTTTCCACTAGTGTTAAATCCCAGTTAAATAATAAACAAAATACATTTGAAAGAATTATAAAAATAAACTGTCCATTAATTCTTGAGTCTAGAATTTCCAACTAATTTGGAAACAAGAATTTCAACTCATGGCATTTTAACAGAGTTCAATGGGTGGATAAAAGAGTAAAAAAGTTGTTTGCTTTTGGCCAAGTATTTTTGACCAAATATAGTTATAAAAAAATAGTCCCCTAAAATTACTTGATCTATATGAATTTGAGCCACCTCCCATTCTTGATGCTATATCATCTCATTTTACTTTCTTATACTTTAGTGTTAATGAGAGGCCGAGTTGTCTTTAAAATATTTCTATTACTAAGAAAAAGCGTATTTCCTTATTCATTAGTAAGATTTAAATAGCAATAAGAGCAAGCTGAACATAACTATAATTTCTAAAATGAGTCTGCACTTGAAAATTCAGACTAATGAATTTCCTTAAGAGGACAGAAATTTGAGGGGAAGTCTTGTTTCAAATTGGTTTAGTATCTATTCTAGCAGACGGGCCACACTCTGGTTGATTTCAGAGGCGTAAATCTCTTTATGGTTCTTATGTGAACATTAGGGCAAGGCCTATTTGGCAGATACAGTTCTATGAAGTGATATAAATGAAATTATTTTGCTTTTTTGATCACAGATCAGTAAAAATGAGAACAGTGTGTGCCATAGCTATAATTAGGAAATGTGTAATTTGATAGTTTACCAAATAAAGTTGCCTACTTTGATTTTATTTCTTCAAGGCCAGATTGAAATTATTATGACTTTCTAAATAAGCACCAGTAAACTGTGCTATAATTTTCGATGTTTACATGTTATTTGTAATTCTACAAAATAAAATTGGTCTTGTGAGATAAAAATGGAAGCTCATGAAAGATGTTAGTAATGTGTCTAATATTAATTTAATTAATTAATGTAATTATTTTTAATTTATTCATGATAGTTTGGACAATGCAATGAGAAAGACATACAATGTTATCTCTAGCCCTCACTATGACATCTTGGGCAGACTAATCTTAGTTTCTTGCTCATCAATATAATGAAGCATTATTATAATATAATCAGTATCTATTCTCCATTTTTTAAAAAAACTACTCACTATTCCCAAAATACAAAAAATAACAACAATAAAGCAGTAACAACAGTAACAATATATGTTGCTGATCAGCTCCACAATAATAATTACTCCATCTGGAGCTACTCATATATTATCACATTTTAATGCTAACAACCCCCCTGATAAATTGGTACTATTGTGCTCACTTTACAGATTAGGAGGGCTATTTCTATATTCTATATACTTGTAGCACATTTCTAGAATTCAGGACATATTGAATGTCCCAAAAATATTTATGATGTGGACAAATAAATTGTTTCAAAGGCTTATGTGTGCACCATACAGAATACATTGATATATTTAGTTATCATGTCTCCTAAGGATGCTCAGTATCAATTAGGCTTCTTTTCAAAAATTTTAGTGGTTGCTGAAGAGTTTACAATATACTCTTAACTAATCTAAGTTCACCTTCGAATAACTTTATATCACATCATTTGTAGTACAAGTACAGAGGAATCCCAGTTTTCTCACCTATCCTGTGACATTGCTGCTATTCATTTCATTTACCCCTATGCTATCACCACTTAATATATACTTGCTATTATTTCTTAAACAAAGTTATTTATGTTAATTCAGAAAAATAAAAAGAAAATATTTTACCATGATATTATATTCCTTCTCCAATTCTCTAGCTTTCTTTTTGTACATGAATAATTTTCCTACTTCCTTTAGACTTTTTTAAAACAATTCTTCGAGGTCAGTACTGTTGGGAATGAATTCCCCCAATTTTCTTTGTCTGAGAATTTTTTTTTTCTTTTTTTTTTGAGACAGAGTCTCACTTTTGTTGCCCTGGCTAGAGTGAGTGCCGTGGCGTCAGGCTAGCTCACAGCAACCTCAAACTCCTGGGCTCAAGCAATCCTCCTGCCTTAGCCTCCCAAGTAGCTGGGACTACAGGCATGCACCACCATGCCCGGCTAACTTTTTGTATATATATTTTTAGTTGGTCAATTAATTTCTTTCTATTTTTAGTAGAGCCGGGGTCTCGCTCAGGATGGTTTCGAACCCCCAACCTCGAGCAATCCTCCCGCCTTGGCCTACCAGAGTGCTAGGATTACAGGCGTGAGCCACTGCGCCCGGCCAATTTTTGGTTTCTATTCACTTTTAAAAGATGATTTTAATGAATAGAGAATTATAGGTTGATGTATTTCTTTCTTTTAACATATTAAATATTTCATTTTATCTTTTCTTGCTTTTATGGTTTCTGAGGAAAATTACACTCTAATTCTATAGGTAGGGTGACCCCTCCCTTTGCTTTTAAGAATTCTTTCCTTTGTTTTTTGAATATGATGTGGTAGTGTTGTTTGCTTATTTTTTTGTTTAGTTTTTCTTCATTCATCAATTCAGATATTTACTGAGCTTCTTGGATCTCTGGTTTGGTGTCAGTCATTAATTTGAAAAGATCTTAGTCATTGCTGCTACTACTATTTCTTCATTCTCTCCATTCTCTTTTGCTTCTCCTTCTGTTATATCAATTACACACATATATTATGACTTTTAAAATTGTCACGCCATTCTTAGATTTCTTTTTTACATTCCTTGTATTCCTTTTTTGCATTTAACTTTGGAAAATTTCCATTGACTAATCATCAAGTTCATTGATTCTTTCCTTGGTCATGTTGAGACTATTGATGTGTCCTAGAAAGGAATTAATTATTTCTGTTACGGTGTTTATGAGCTAAAGCATTTTTTGTTTCTCTTTTTTAGAGTTTCAGTCTTTCTACTTATATTACTCATCCATTCTTACATAAAGTCTGCTTTTTCCATTATGGACTTTAATGCATTAGTCATAATTATTTTAAAATTCACTTTTAATTCCAAAATCTTTGTTATACATGAATTTGATCTAATGCCTGCTTTGTCTCTTCAGACTGTGCTTTATCCTGCTTTATGACATGCCTTATAATCTTTTGTTGAAACTTTTACATGTTGTATTGGGGAGTAGGATTGAGGTAAACAGACCTCAGACTTATGTTAACCTTGGCAGAAGTTGGGTTGCATTTAACTTTTGCAGTGGCAGTGAGTATCAGGGCCTTCGGTGTCCTCTACATCTATTTTAGTCTCTCCTTCTGAGTTGTGTTTCTATAAGTAATCCTGCACTGAGAGATTTTATGTCCTGAAGCTCCTAACTCCTTCAGCTCTTGTTATATTAAAACTAAAGTATGGGGCAGGAAGAATATTCTATAATCTTCCAATTAAATACCAGTATTTTAGTGAGTCTGTTTCTCAGGCCTTCAACTTTCACAAGTGCTTCTCCAGTGTGGTAGCTTTTTATTCCCTTTGATCCCAACTCCTGTCTTTTTTTTTGAGACAGACTCTCATTCTCTTGCCTGGGGTAGGGTGCCGTGGCATCAGCCCAGCTCACAGTAACCTCAAATTCCTGGGCTCAAGCAATTCTCCTGCCTCAGCTTCCTGAGGCAGTAGGTGGAACTACAGGCATGCACCACCACGCCCAGCTAATTTTTCCATATATTT